GGCAGAGTGATGTACATGCATGTGCAAATTAGCAGTTATTTTTAATTAAAAGGAAAAAAGAGCTTTCAGGATTCTAATTAGTGCACACAACAATACAGAATTATTTCAGTATCAGTTATGGAGGTCTATTGTTGTGTTGATATATGCTACAGAAAATTCCAGAGAGCCTCAGCTATTGGGCACTATTAAAAAATGAAATAAATACATAAATAAATAAATACAATATTTTATAGACCAGATCTGGTTAGTCCTGTCTAAGTACTTTGACCATCTTTGAATTCATGGAGCTCATCACACTGGACAAGAGTCCATAACTGCACATTAATCTTAAATCGAGCAATTAACTGACAATCATAAGGATCCTGGTTTTTTGCTCATTTGCAAGCAATGGCCATTTTCCTAAGCCAATTCTTCTAACAAAGTAGACATTAAAAGATCTCACTGGAAATTGCTTCAAAATATTCCTGCTGGATTCTTACTGAATGTGATTGGTGATGTTTTGATTGTAAGTTTTTAAAAATGCTTTAATTTTCATTTGAATGAATGCACAAGTTTTTGATCTGGCATCTCTCTAGCTACAACACTTATCATCACATATTCCGCCGATTGCCTGGTTTTTTGACATGCCGGTGCGTGCTAATCCTTAAAAGGCTTTGTTGCAGTTTTGCTCAGAGATAGTTTTCCTCTTGACTTTTGACAAAGATTGAAATTGAAATGTCTCCAAGAGTTGCAGAACAGGACAGTAAACCATGAATAGAGTTAATTATGCCGGACTTTGCAAGAAGCCTTTGCAAGACACCAAATGCTTTTAATACAACTTTCAGCATGGCCTAATACATAAGAACCAACAGATTTCATGTCAGGGGAAAAATACTCAAAATGTATGTTTCTAGGAAGATAAAAAAGCATTTGTTTAGACTTATTAAGGATCTGAGATTCTGTAATTCTCATGCTTTCTTTTCCTCTCCTCCTCATGTTTTGCTGAATACGAGTTACTTTAATTATTGCAAAGGATTTTAAGCTCAAATGTCATGGATTCAGTAGCCAAATAGAATAGAGCTGAAGATTTTGATGACAGAATTCACTATCATGAGTTTTTAATGAGAATGGAAATTTGAAGCACAAATCTGCATCTAGCAACAAGGGGGCTTCCGCACGCTGTTGGCTGTTCATCCTTTAGAGTTACTCTTAGGCCATTTGGGGGTCTTGCTGTCTTGCTTTTGATTCAGAATGGCGCTAGAGGTTAGGGTTAGGGTTAGGCTAACCTAAGAAAATAGGCTAGACTTGGTAAGCAGATCCCAGTTCTTTCAATGACTTTGAGGGAACATGTATGGGTTTAAAGTGTGCAGGAGTTGGGCTGTGCCTGCAGGCCCTGCTCCAGTGCTCCCACAGGTGCCAACTCTACTTTTGATTTTTTCATGTTCAAAATGAAAATTTGGCAGCAACACTAAGAGCCTGCAGCTGAATGTTCAAGGTAGAATCCAGAGGTGTCCCAATGCAACTGACAGGGCACTAGAGGGAACCAGCCCTTGTGCTTATTGTAACTAGTGTTTGTAAACACAATGGAGAAGCTGTCCAATTTGCTGCTGGCATATGCTTCTTTCTTGCCGTCAAATTTAGGGGCAAATCATCGCTTTTCCCATTTGTTGGCA